GCTTGTACCTGAATAAAACTTGGTCTTAAAGGTGCCACTGGACTGTTTTGGACTGGGGGGGGGGGCAGAGGGCTCTGCAGCTTACCTGGCTGCTTCTTGCTCTGAGGGTTGCTGGGAGCAGGGGGTGGGGCTTGTTGCATGTGCCCCCGCCCCCTGGGCTCTTTACTGCCGGAGCTCCGCTCCTGTGCGCTCCTGCAGGAAATGACCCCTGGGAATTCCTACCTGGGAATCAACATTTGAGTGCTATGGAGAGAGTGCACAGTATAGAACTGCAGACCACGACATGTAGCCACCATAGTAGAGTGATTATGAAACGGTGGCAGCGGCTTTGAATAGATGGGGAGGGGGCCATATAGTACCTCCTGTAGCCTTCCAAAACAGTAGCAAAGAGATCTGTCATAAGGTACAGGGGAGCCAGGGCCACGACCCTGCCCTGTAATTTGAGCACAGGCTGATAGAGGCTGATTCTCTGCGTCTGAACAGCTAATGTATTGTTTGAGGGTGAGAGGTTGCTATCTTTTTTTCTCTCTCTGCCTTCACAGGATTTCTGGATTTGATTCTGTGCCACAGTCCGTTTATGTTCCTGTAAATTCACAGCCCTCAGAACCTTGATGTCAGGTCATAAAGATGATCTGGAATTAAGCCCTTAATCTGCTTATGCGTTAGGTTCTACTCTTGGAATAAATCTACTTTGCCTTAGATTGTTTTCAAACTGTTCCTCAGGAGGCTTAACACCCTGGCCTGGTGTTGAATCTAATTTTGGCTAGCATCTCTGGTGACTATACATTTGCCTTAATTTATCTGGCGCGACTTAATAAAGTTCCACTGCTCACTTTACGGTCCTTGGCGATGCTCCCTCTAAGCTGTGGAGGCTTGTGAGCAAAAACTCTACTTTGTGAGCTACTGGCATTAAAGTTGTGAGCGAGTGAATCGGCTGCTGCATACATTAGTTTGCTCTGGAGCCCTCCTTCCTGAGCTGAGACAAAAATGTGTGAGCCGGAGGCTAAAAACCTGTGAGCTGGCTCGCACTAGCTCAGCTTAGAGGGAACACTGGCTGCGAGCGATGTTCCCTCTAAGCTGTGGAGTCTTGTGAGCAAAAATTCTACTTGGTGAGCTGCTGGCATTGAAGTGGTGAGCGAGCGATTCGGCTGCTGCCTCAATCAGTTTGCTCTGGAGCCCCTCCTTCCTGAGCTGAGACAAAAATGTGTGAGCCGGAGGCTAAGAAACTGTGAGCCGGCTCGCACTAACTCAGCTTGGAGGGAACACCGGTCCTCGGCACTGTGAACTTTCACTATCGGTGCCGAAGGGTTTATTAGAGACGGGGTTTTGTATGAATAAGAGCTGGGTTAAGATTAGAGGGGAAAGGACAATAATTTTTTTTTAATAAAATTTTGCAAGGCATTGCCATACACATGCGTCTCCGTGCACTGCCAAGCCAAGACAAAGATCTACTGCTCAAACAGCAGTGCCAGTTGTCATAGTGTGTGTGTATAAAGTGCAGTCAAGCTGCCGCTGGTATGGCCACCGCGCAGGGTTTCCAAGGCAAGAGACATTCAGAGGTGGTTTGCCGTTGCCTGCCTAGACCTCCTTGGCAGTCTCCCATCCAAGCGCTAACCAGGACTGATCCTGCTTATCTTCTGAGATCTGACAAGAACAGGCTGGCTTGGGCTATCCAGATCAGGGCCATCGTCACTGTTGTTGTTGTTGTTCAGTCGCACAGTTGAGTCCGACTCTTTGTGACCCCATGGACCAGATCACGCCAGGCCTTCCTGTCTTCCGCCGTCCTCTGAAGTTGGCTCAACTTCATGTTCGTTGCATCTATGACACTGTCCAACCATCTCATCCTTTGCCGTCCCCGTCTTCTTTGACCTTCAGTCTTTCCCAGCATCAGGGTCTTCTCCAGTGAGTGCTCCCTTCCCATTGGGTGGCCAAAGTATTTGAGCTTCAGCTTCATTATCTGGCCTTCCAGGGAACAGTCAGGGTTGATTTCTTTTAGGATTGACTGATTTGATCGTCACTGTACCCCTGTGCAAATGCAAGCACCTTGCCCCTTGATTTTCAAGGTCTGGGAAGGTGTGAGTTGAGGAGGACCTGGTTCACAGGGCAGGCCTTTGGCGACATGCAAGGAAATGAAGGCTCCTCTTTCGGGACTCGCCAGAGCACACCCAGGAACGGAAGCAAGGCCATTTCCTCTTTAAGAACACGGAGAACCGTAGGTTCAAGTCCAGTAGCCCCTTTGAGTCCAACAAGATTTTTGGGGATATAAGATTTTGAGAGCCGACGCTCCCATCGTCGGTACAAGTCAGAGTGGAGCTCTGAGTCCTCTTATGGTGATGTGATGGTAACGCACCGAATTTAAAAGCCTCACCACAAATTATAGAATGCACAGGCCGTGTCTGGGATCCCTGCCTTGTTTCAGGCATCACACAATCATACATTTACTTATTTATTTATTTATACTTTCAACTTGCTATACCGCCCTAATCCCGGAGGGTCTCTGGGCGGTTTGCATATATAGTGGTTCTAATAACCCTTAATCCCTGACCTGATAGGGGTGGAGTAGCCTACCAGCACCCAGGTGGAGAGCCTTGTTTGTTGCTCCGGCGTGGCTTACGTGAGTTGTGAGTTTTCGTTTCCAGCCTCTGTGGTGCCTGATTAGGATGAGGACCAATGCACATGGATGAGTGGCCTCAGCATCCCTCCCTCACCATTCTCCCAACATGAAAAAATAGTGGTCCCCCCCCCACTTGGGGAAACTCATGTGTTCCCAGAGATCATTTGGATTTCCCCAACAGGCTTAATACCAGCCCCCCCCCCAGGACAGCATCCCCCTCTGGGCTCAGACAGTTCTGAGGCGAATTGGAGTAGGGGCACATGGGATAGAGGGGTAAGAAATGAGAAAAGGGTCTTCTCTTTGGAGGAAGGACATAGAGGGGCATGGACCCCTGGAGGACATCATCTCCCCTGGTCTGAGCCGAGGACTTCTGTAAAGTAGTTCGATGCAACTCCCTTTCCTGATGCTGGTCTCTGGTTGGGATCTGAAGGAGGCCCCCTGCGGCTCTCCTTCGGCTAGACATCTATGGTTCTGAAGAGAGTTCAGGCAACGGTCCGTTGGTGGAAGCTCAGTAGGAAGGTGCATAACTAAGAACATAAGAGATGCCAATGTTGGATCAGGCCAAAGGCCCATCCAGTCCAACACTCTGTATCATACAGTGGCCAGAAATACCAGTGCCATCAGGAGGTCCACCAGTGGGGCCAGGACATTAGAAGCCCTCCCACTGTTGACCCCCCCCAACACCAAGAAAACAGAGCATCACTTGCCCCAGAGCCCCTATCTATACCTTGTGGCTAATAGCCACTGAGGGACCTCTGCTCCAGATGCTTATCTAATTCCCTTTTGAAGCCGTCCATGCTTGTAGCCGCCACCACTTCCTGTGGCAGTGTGAGATCCCAGTTCTGATCTCCGGTTCCTGTCTCAAAGCTGGAAAACTCCAGAGAGCTGGATTAAAGAATTCCCCCACCCAGTCGTTGCTGCCAATACTGAAGTCACAAAGCAATACTTGGCATCACATTAGCCTCTTACAGTCAATAAATCAAATCAGTAATCTTATAGTCAGAACATCCCTGGTTCATGGCAAGCAGGCACACTCTTCTTATGCTCTTCTTATCCATACTGGTACCTTTATGCTATTTTTTCCATGTTGGCATAATTCAATGCATTTGTCATCCTCACCGGTAACAAATACTGTCTTGCAGCCAGGGCTCTTTTTGTAGAAAAAGCCCAGCAGGAACTCATTAGCATAATAGGCCACACCCAACAGCAGGAACTCATTAGCCTATTGGGCCACACCCCTGACAGCACAGCTCATTAGCACATTAGGCCGCACCCTCATGTTACCAGAAGTGTGGTTATCCAGCCACACCCACCTTTTGCTTGTTATTCTGTTTACCTTGTTTGTTGTCCAAACCCAGGGCCTTTTTGTAGCAGGAGCTCCTTTGTATGTTAGGCCACACACCCCTAATGTAGCCAATCCTAATGAGTTTCTGCTGTTGGGTGTGGCCTATTATGCTAATGAGTTCCTGCTGGGCGTGGCCAACTTAGGAGCCAGCCGGAACTCCGTTCCTGTGCGTTCCTGCCCCAAAATAGCCCTGCTTGCACCAGTAGATCAAGAAATGAAACTATGTTTTGTCCAAACTATCTTCTTTGGTATGTCTGGCAATGTATCACTTGTGTCAAAATTTAAAAAAAATATATACTTTTTGTGAATGTTAGGAGCAATTTCTGTTGGGAGCGAAGTATCCTGTAACCATATTCCCAAAAGTAGCATAATAGCTATATACCGCTGAAATGTTGATCTCTCTTAATTTTAGCAGTATCAGAGCCAGTTATTTCAACAAACAGAAGATGTAGATGGGAAAACAGAAATCATCATTAAGGTAAGGACAAGCATCAAGACCGGCACGTTTCTGCTTCCGCGTTTGAATTGAAATAAGCAATTTAGGCTTCACGTGAAACCATATTATGACCTTATCTTAGTTTATAAACGCAAATCATGGTGTATTGGTGCTTATCTGCTGTCCTTTTCACCTGCTCGGCAGTCCTTTTTCTGTAGTGTGGCAACTTTAAGAAACAGAACAGCTCAGACACTGTTGTAGTTTGCAGAAAACATGCTTTGGAAACTGACCAAACTCTAGTTTCTTTTTCTGGTGTGCTGGTTGCTCATAAACCATGGTTGGTTGTTGGAGTTTCAAGTTGCTTACACTTCAGTCATTACAGAGTTAAGTGTTGTTTGATAGGAAACAGGCTGTTACAGTTACATAATGTATTCTAAGGCGGGAAAGTGTGTGGGAGTTGCTTAGCCTAATGAGGTGACCTGTAACCTTTGTATTGGTCAACTAACAACTTGCTTGTGGAAATGCTTTGATCTAGCATTAATGTATCCACAAGTTTTGTGGCCTTTGTGTGAAGGAGACAGGAAGCGCTCTCTTGAAGCCGACAGAAAGATAGAAAGATGTCGCTCTTAGCAAGTAGTACTGAAAGTGACTGTAAGCATGTAACCTTTTCTTTTATTTCTTTTATCCAAAGTACCCTACCCATGCTTTATTTTGTTTTGTAGTAAAGATATTTTCCTTTTAAGTGATGTGACTCTTGTGTTTGCAAAACGACCATCGATCTTGAACCTCAGAATCCCAACATTGGTCAATTTGAATGTCATGCAAAACTGTAATTAAGCTTTCTGAATCATTCTTTGCTGTCTGAACCGAGGGAATCTGAGTTGTCAGTCTCTGTTACTGGCATGTGAAGAGGTGACGGCTGTCAGGTTCCTCTTGGCTCCCAGCAATACAATAATATATCCTGTTGGTGTTTCTGTGATCCATTTATCTGTGATGGCCCTCAGAACATTCTTTCAGTTTCGTTTAATATCATGATGCTTTGCTCCCAAGGCCTGATCATGGCTGTGGTCCAGCAAGTGAGCACCACAAGCTAAATTTTCCCTGCTGAGAGCTATGAAATAGCCGGTATGCTGTGCCCTTCTACAGCTAACAGTGAATCCCAGCGTATGCACATGGAGTGCAGCCATTTTCTCAATATCTTGCGCTGGGATTTTGGTATATTGTGTGGCATTTTCACACACTTTCCTGGTGGCGATGCAGTGCGTTCTTAATAATAAAGGATTTGCAGATGCAAGGAGGGAAGAAGAGGGAGTATGCCACTTGAAGAGTGAACATAAGAACATAAGAGAAGCCAGTGTTGGATCAGGCCAATGGCCCATCTAGTCCAACACTCTGTCACACAGTGGCCAAAAATACCAGGTGCTTTCAGGAGGTCCACAAGTGGGGCCAGGACACTAGAAGCCCTCCCACTGTTGCCCCCCCAAGCACCAAGAATACAGAGCATCACCTGCCCCAGCCTGTGAGTTCCTATCTATACCTTGTGGCTAATAGCCACTGGTGGATTTTTGCTCCATATGCTTATCTAATTCCCTCTTGAAGCCGTCTATGCTTGTAGCCGCCACCTCCTCCTGTGGCAGTGAATTCCATGCGTTAATCACTCTTTGGGTGAAGGAGTACTTCCTTTTATCTGTTCTCACCCGACTGCTCAGCAATTTCATTGAGTGCCCACGAGTTCTTGTATTGTACAATGCTTTTAAGTTCTCCAGAACCCTTCACAAGATTGCCACAGTGCTCTGGAGCACTCGAAAGCTTGCACACTCTTGTGTATTATTTTGATTGGTCTTAATAAAAGGTGCTGCATGGCTTTGTGTTTTTGGATTTCACCTAAATTCAATTACACTACTTACCATTTGTGACCATATCTAGCCTCCTGTAAGCTGCAGGGTCAAGGTATCAATTAGGGGTGTGCAAAAGAAAAAAATTCGGTAAAATTCGGATTCAGATATATCAAACCCGAATTTTTTCGGGAACCCCCCCCCCCAAAAAAAATACCTATACTGGTATGTATTACTCACATGAGCAGTAGATGCCTTAGCACTGTGCTTCCATGTTGGGCCACTGAAGCAATTTTAATGTACTTCTCTGGCACTTTGTACTTTCAGGTTTACAGATAATTTGCAGGCAGATGGTGCGAACGAATTAGGTGTTAATCAGAGTGTGAATCAGTAGTGCCTGAAAGCAAATAAATCCATCTGCAGGAAAGATGGCCTATGCTAATGCTCTCACAGCATGGCAATTTATTCACAGCCAAGAATCTCTTCCTGTGTCGGGCCTTATACAACTGCATTGACTTGCTAATCACACCTGGATAATTGTACGAGTGGCATACAGATTGAGCTGTGAAATGCACTCTCTATATCTTCATTTGCTCTCGTTTTGAATGAGCCACCCAAACATACTTCTAATGAACAGAAGAACAAATGGTCAGTGCCCAAAATATCACTTTCTCCTGCTATAATAGAAATGGTGCCTAAATATGAGGGGCCGTGGCTCAGTGGTAGAGCATCTGCTTGGCATGCTGAAGGTCCCAGGTTCAATCCCTGGTATCTCCAGTTAAAAGATCTGGCAAGAGGTGATGTGAAAGACCTCAGCCTGAGACCTTCGAGAACCTCTGCTAGTCTGAGTAGACAATACTGACTGTGATGGACCAGTGGTCTGATTCAGTATAAGGCAGTTTCATGTGACTGGTGCTGTTCTTTGCCTGAATGAAAAACTTCAGTTATTCTCAGTTCAGGGTCAGTTCTTCATGCGGAGACTCCCCCATCCCTCCATTCTCACACCTTTTTTATTATTATTATTTATTATTGAAGCTTATATACATAATCTTACATTAAATCATTGTACAATCATCTTATCCCCCTCCACCCCCCTCCCTCCTTATAGTATCTTCATATTTTTAACCATGTGCACAGATTCTTCATTCGTATTTGGATATTTGGATTGGCTTCCCCCCTTTCCACCCATTCCTTATATCCCACCCATTTATTCGTAATCTTTTGACATTTCTCCTCCCATGTCTCTTCAGTAATTATCTGTGCAAATATATCTGATTGTACGCGTTCAAAGACATAATTATTCCATTTTTCCATTGTCCATTTGTGCCTATCCCTCCATCCCAATGCTATTACAGCCATCCCGGCTAAAACCATAATTTTATATAACTCCCGTTTATTTCTTTCCACTTTTTTATTTCCCAATATTCCAGAAATATTCTCACACCTTCTTATCAGGACAGAAATAATCGTGGTGTTTCCAAGAGGCTGGGAAAAAGTAAAGGGTCTAATGCAGTCCTCGGCTTACACAGCTAAGAGTCCTAGTATTTATTTAGGAATGAGCCTCTGTCTTTTGCGACAATTTTATGTGTAAACTGATGATCAAAACTGCTAGTTAAGTGCCGTATTCTATTTGAGTGACATTTACTTAAGCGATTATTTGCATTTCCCCCTGGCCACTTGGACAAAGTTAACGTTGTTGTTTCTATATTATGTAATCATAGGACAGACTGTGTATTTGAGCCCTTGGAGCACGTGTGCTGCTCTGTTGCTTAACTATCTCTGATCTCTGATCACGTCCGGTCTTCTGGACTACGAAGTCAGAAGCAGTCCCCGGCCAGCATATTTGCTGCAATAGCCCTGGATGGCTTTTGGTTCTTCAGAAAGGGTCTGAAGAAGAAGAAGAAGAAGGAGAAGAGATTGGATTTATACCCCGCCCTTCACTCGGAGTCTCAGAGCGGCTTACAAACTCCTTTCCCTTCCCCTCCCCACAACAGACACCCTGTGAGGTGGGTGGGGCTGAGAGAACTCTGACACAAACTGCTCTTTTTCAAGGACAGCTGTGCCAGAGTTTGTGACTGACCCAAGGTCACATCAGCAGGTGCAAGTGGAGGAGTGGGGAATCAAACCCGGTTCTCCCAGTTTAGAGTCCGCACACTTAACCACTACACCAAACTGGCTCTGAAAGGAAGACAGACGAAAACTAGTATGTCTGCTTAATCTTTCAAAGTGCTTAGTCGCTGTGTGAAACAGTTGATTTTTACAAAGCCATCTTACAAAGAACAGGTTTATCGTAAATGCTGCTATGGGTTTCCAAGAAAGAATCGACTTTCATCCCTCATTGACTCTTTTTTTTTTTGCATTGTGACAGCAATCCTGTGTAAACTGTGGCCGTGACGCTATGAATGAATGCACCGGCTGTCACAAAGTCAATTACTGCTCAACTTTCTGTCAACGGAAGGTAAATAAGATCCTTAAGCACTCCAGAGTATACTGGTCGGGCAGAACTTGTATGTCTGGAGGGGGGGGTTTGATTTGGGGAGGGGCTATGACTAAATGCAAGAGCCTCTGTTCTGCATGCAGAAGGTCCCAGGCTCAATCCCCGGCATCTCCAGTTAAAAGGATCGGATAGGAGGCAACGTGAAAGACCTCTGCCTGAGACCCTGGAGAACCAGTGCCAGTCAGAGTAGACAATACCGACTCCGGTGGACTGATGGTCTGGTTCACTATAAGGCAGCTTTGTGTGTGTAGTGTTGCAGAAACAAACATCGATGATCAGGGGTCATTTCGTAGAAAAAGAGCTAGGGGAACTCATTAGCATAACTCATTAGCATATGCCACACCCCCTGACATCAGGGGCCCGGCGGTGGACCTGCAAGGCTGGCGGGAGTGCGAGGAAGCCCCGCCAAGGCCCTCCTTGGCCCCACACAGGCAGGGGTGGGGAGAGGCGGGGAGGAAGCAACTTACCCTCCCTCTTCTCCTGCGTCCTCCTGGCTGAATGAGGGCTGGAAGCGGGGCGGCCGGAAGCAGGGGGCAGGGCTTCATCATGTGCCCCGCCCCCCTGCACCTCACCCGGGGGAACTGCGTTCCCCCCCGAAATGACCTCTGTCCATGATACTCTGTTCTTCGGGGTTCACCATTCATTTCCCTGAGTTGGAACCAGAAGGGCTGTTTGGTAGATTCCAGCCTAACTCTCCAATCTTACCTACAGTCGTCTTGCTCCACGTCTCCAATGGAATTTATGACAGCATCATTCTCAGCCTTTGTCTGGCAATGTCACAGTGCATGTTCCCTGAATAATTCCTTTATTTAATCAATTAACAATCTGTCTTTTTTGCTCATTTGCAGGATTGGAAAGATCACCAGCATATGTGCGGCCAGTCTGCTACAGTTACTGTTCAGACAGAAGAGGTTCATGTTACGGACAATGTGATGGAGAAAGTTGCTGTCTGAAAGGCCCTACCTCTTGGAATTGTGTGTTTGTGTGTGTGTGCGTGTGCGTGTGTGTTAACAGACTGGCCGGACCAGTCATCCTACTGTGATTTCATACAATTCAAAGGACCAAGCTCATTGATCAAGAAGATCACATTTGTGCAACCATTTCCATGTTGCTGGCCAGCATAAACTCTTCTTTGACCCTGCAGAAACTGAAAATACATTGAATTGAGAATGTGAAGTGGCTCCACTTACGTTAAGGGAACTCTGAACCAACTTCACAGGGCTCTCTACAAACCCTTTACAAAGCTGGCTGGCGGTTTAAATATCTGCATCTTCTTTGAAGTGACTTGTGAAGGTTCTTTAAAGCGGCTGTTAAGAAACGCTTTCTTTTGAGATTCCGCCAAAGCAATTGCATCAGTCTTGCTCTCCCATGCTGACCGACCTCTCATTTTAAAAACATGTAACATCCCAATCCTTCATTGGGTTTCGTTATCATTTAGATATTGCTTGGTTGTATTTGGAATTCCATTGCCGGGAATAGATTTGGCTCTTGTGTTATTTGGGAGGTGTCAACATGGAGGACAAAATCCTGATATGCTCGAAGTTCTGCATGGTGATGTGTCATGTTGAGCCAAGTACAATGCGATCGTGAAACTTCTTGTAGTGTTCGTTCAAGGGCAAATGCAGATCTGGGTTATACAGGTACATGTAAACAATGGGTGGTGATCAAAATGTGAGCTGAGATGACAGCAGAGCTTGGCCTAGCTATCTCCGCCTCTCATAAGATACAGCTTTCCTTGTGTGTGGACTGCCTTCTTTTCTCCTGGTGGACAGCAGAGAGTGCACAGTATCTCCATACCTCCCCTCTTTTGTAGGCACATGGCTGAGTAAGGCTACTCTGAGGGAGAGATGTTAACGCTGCTCCAGGTGTCTGAGCTCAAGCTGGCCAGCAAGATGCCTCAGTTTTTCCCTTACTCTTACCTCACCTTCTGTGCCCTTGGCTGTTTTTGACTGTTCAGAGCCAGTTTGGTGTCGTGGTTAAGTGTGCGGACTCTAATCTGGGAGAACCGGGTTTGATTCCCCACTCCTCCACTTGCGCCTGGCTGGATGACCGTAGTTCTGATAAGAGCTGTCCTTGGAAAAGAGCAGTTTCTGTCAGAGCTCTCTCAGCCCCGCCTACCTCACAGGGTGTCTGTTGTGGGGAGGGGAAGGGAAAGGAGTTTGTAAGCCGCTCTGAGACGCCTTTGGGTAGTGAAGGGCCATGGGGTATAAATCCAATCTCTTCTCTTCTTCTTTCTACAAAGATCTGTAGAAGGAGAGGCCACTTCACTATACCTGCCATCGGTTAAAGTATCCTGCCATCACAATGTGATGTGGTCCATAGGGTCACGAAGAGTCAGACTCGACTGTGCGACTGAACAACAACAGCCATCATAAGAGGCGAGCATCCTCCCATACACAAATTGTCTAATGGCCGGGCCAGATGTGAATCATAAGAAGGGACTGGCCACTTGCACAGTCATGGACTTATCATCTTTCTACAAAGATCTGTAGAAGGAGAGGCCGCTTCAGTATACCTGCCATCAGTTAAAGTATCCTGCCATCACAATGTAATGTGGTCCATAGGGTCACGAAGAGTCGGACTCGACTGTGCGACTGAACAACAACAGCCATCATAAGAGGCTAGCATCCTCCCATACACAAACTGTCTAATGGCCGGGCCAGGTGTGAATCATAAGAAAGGACTGGCCACTTGCACAGTCATGGACTAGCGTTCCTGCTACAGAAAGAGCCCTGGATGGATAGATAGATGATAGATGGATGGATGGCTCTTTTTGTAGCAGGAACTCCTTTGCATCTTAGGCGACACACCCCTAATGCAGCCAATCCTCCAAGAGCTTACAGTAGCCCCTGTGAGAAGAGCTCTGTAAGCTCTTGGAGGATTGGCTACATTCGGGGTGTGTCGCCTAATATGCAGAGGAGTTCCTGCTACAAAAAGAGCCCTAGCTGTTCAGCATGTGAAGCATGGCCTGCAGATCACAGTCCCAACACACAAGAACCAAAGGTCAATATTATGGCATGAGTAAGTGGCATTTTTGATTCTCTGTTCTGGGCTTTGGTTCCTCCTTCATTCTGTAAATGAAATGCTAAAATGTTCTTTCAGGTATTTCTGTTTGAACTTAACAGGGATCAGTTAAAAACTCCTACCTTGCACAGGGTTTACAACTCTGCCTTCACACAGCCAAAAATAAGACTGAAGGTGCAGCTGTACATTTCCACAACATCTCACTTGGGGAGAGAGGCCTTACGTTATAATGGAACGATGGGTTTGAAAATAGCACCTCCGAAGTGTTAAAATTGGAACTCATAAAGTGAATATTGGTTCAGGCCATATTCACGCCTATGAAAAGAAATGAGTCCTATGACAGAATAACAATAAAATACTATTAATGTTAGTGTAATGAGTCTGGAGATGTACTGTGCAAGCAGATCATCCTTCTGACTGGGGAGAGTGCAGTATCTGCTTCAGTACAAGCAAGAAATTGCAAGTAGATAAATAGGGACCCCTTCGGTGGGAAGGTAACAGCGTTCCGTGTGCCTTGGTGTTTAGTCATGCTTGTCACATGACCACGGAAACGTCTTCGAACAGCGCTGGCTCTTCGGCTTGGAAACGGAGATGAGCACCGCAACCCTAGAGTCGGATTCGACTGGCTTTCGAGCAAGGGAACCTTTACCTTTTTACAGTATCAAAAACTGGAATTAACTGACATTGTGGGGACACGATGCAAGGAGGGTCGGTATCTGAGGGATATCGACAGTCACGTTTTAGTCTAATTTTAGTCTGTTCCTGACAATCCTAAATAGCCGTCTTGCAAAAGGTCAGTCCTGCAAAGCACTGAATACCCACCACCCAGTAATGGCACTTCCATCATCATGATTTCTTAGGTAACAGCCAAACAGGGCATTTTTCCTTCATTCAGGGAAACACGAATCGTTTTTGCTCTCGTTTCCCTCAAAGTGAGTAACAAGTCTGTGCCTGCAGTAGCTACTGCAGCCTTTTTTACAGATTAGGACGTGAGCAACGCTCCCTCTAAGCTGTGGAGTCCTGTGAGCAAAAATTCTACTTGGTGAGCTGCTGGCGTTAAAGTTGTGAGCGAGCCGTTTGGCTGCTGCATAAATTATTTTGCTCTGGAGCCCCTCCTTCCTGAGCTGAGACAAAAATGTGTTGAGCCGGAGGCTAAAAACCTGTGAGCTAGCTCACACAAACTCAGCTTAGAGGGAATACTGGAAGTGAGATAAGCGATCCCTAAAAGAAAATCCTCTATAGGAACTGTGGTATTTGAGGACTTCATGTCTTTACTACTTCAGCTGCTAATATACTTAACAGCTGTGAAGTTTACTCAGTCTGTTTTCTAAATCCCCCGACGAAGCTCAAAACACTCCCTCTGAGCAGGTAGCTATGCCTAGCATTGGTATTAGGGCAGCAACCAACGCATATCCTGTGTGTGTGAGAGACAGGAGGAGAAACCAAGGTATTTTGACTTAAAGGTAAAGGTAAAGGTTCCCTTGCTCGAAAGCCAGGCGAGTCCGACTCTAGGGTTGCGGTGCTCATCTCCGTTTCAAAGCCGAAGAGCCAGCGCTGTCCGAAAATGTTTCCGTGGTCATGTGGCCGGCATGATTAAACACCAAGGCGCACGGGACGCTGTGACCTTCCCACTGAAGTGGTACCTATTTATCTACTTGCAATTTCTTGCAATTTCGATTGCAATTATCTACTTGCAATTAGGTTGGCCTTAGCTGGAACTAGAGACGGGAGCTCACTCCGTCGTGCGGCACACTCGGGTCTCGAACTGCTGAACTGCCGACCTTCCACAGCCTGCAGTTCAGCATCTTAACCACTTGAGCCACCGCAGCTTAGATTTGACTTAGCTGGGGTGTTTTCCAGGTCTTTGCTTCACTTTTTTGATGGGGTGGGGCGATGGACTAGAGGGCCAGCAAGATCTCTGGGCTACTGCACAGCTAGGGCTTGTCACCAAATGGAGGTAGCACACATGATGCCACGGTGAACACTGACATCCTCGTATCAGTGTGATCTGAAAACAGCCTACCTTGTAGGTCACCTTTTGCCCTTCCCATTGGCCCCAGGAAGTCACACAGCAAAGCAAACGGCACATATAGGCCCCGGTCACACTGGGGGGAAAGGCGCGGCTAAAGTGCGGCTTTTTTGAGCCGCATCAAAAGAGAAGCACGGCGGCGGGATCAGACAGATCCCCCCCCAGCCGCCGCGCAGTTCCTCCCTGGCATGATCAGCTGCCAGGGGGAAGCCATGGACCGCAGACCGAGGCGAGGCCACTGTGCATGTGTGTGCATGTGCAGTTCGGCAGGACCTTGCATGCTGCGGGAGAGACGGGCGCACCGGCGATCACACGGCCGCCCCTGCTGCGGATTTTCTGGTACGTACTAGTGTTTTGTAGGGGCTTTTTTATCCGCATCTTCGGCCGGAAGAGACGGATCAGGGACAGGTGCGCGCCGCTTCCCAGATGTTGCGGTGTGATCACGCCCGCTTGATGCGCCCCCGATCCGTCCCTCTTCTTAGCCATACTTTGGCACAGTTGGAAAAACCTCTTTGGAATGGGAAAAAGGAAACTTAGCAATGTTACTGCCAAGTTATTTTTCCACTTCACTGCAAGCACTGCTTGAGCAGGGATTTTGTTTCTTAATAGTAACTGCCATGAGCAGCTATATTTCAAAGCACACAGCTTTAGAAATCTAGGAATTGTTACTCTTTTTGAGGTGGAATCATTTTTAGTCACTGGATTAAGATTAAAAAAGATACATTAATGTTGTTATACACAGCTCTGTGTATGTTATATAAGGCTCAATGGTGCCTTACGCTGTACGGAATCTCCCTTATAAATAAAAGCCGAATGGTGATGGCACTTCTCTAGAACATTCCACACGCTCCAAAATCAGTTCGCTCTCTGATCTGTCATTCAGAGGGTCTCCCTATCCACTGGCTGCTTTGCCTGAGTCCTGCCTCCAACATTCTAAACATTTTGCTAATCCCCTCCCCCCCATAGCCAGTCAGAACACAGAGATTATTTGCATATGCAGCCTCATTGGCCTCTGCCTCAGAACACAG